TGCTGCGGTGTGTGGTAGTGCTGCCTTTGCTGCTGCAACTGTTGTTTCTGGTGGTACTGTTGCTGCTGCTGCTGCTGCTGCTGCAACTGTTGTTGCTGGCAGTAGTGATACCGCTATTACTGCTGCTGCTGCTGTCGCCGCTGCTGCTGTTACTGCTGCTACTGGTGGTGCCGTTACTAGTACTGCTGCTGCTGCTGCTGTTACTACTACTGTACTACTGGTGCAGCTGCTGCTACTGTTACTACTGCTGCTACTACTGCTGCTGCTGCTGCTGCTGTTACTACTGGTGCAGCTTCTGCAACTGTTACTGCTGCTGCTGGTGGTGCCGTTGTTGCGACCGTTGCGCCATCTCGTGGTCAATCAAGTAGATGGCACATCCACGTTGCATTCCTGCATTTTGGTAAGACGTGATGATGAGAAACGCACAGGGTATCAGACCCACCACTCGCGACTATACACGTACGGGGCGTGGCGAGGACGCACAGGGTATCAGACCCACCACTCATGACTATACACGTACGAGGCGTGGCGAGGACGCACAGGGTATGAATGCCAGCAACCACAGCAATAAGGATGTCATGATCACTTCAAACCGAAATTGTGTGACAAGTGTTAGGTATTCAAAGGTTCACAGGGTATCGGAGACAGCAGAAGCACCACCACCACCACCACCAGCAGCAGCAGCAGCAGCAGCAGCACAGCCACCACCACCAGCAGCAGCAGCAGCAGCAGCAGCAGCAGCAGCAGCAGCACCAGCAGCACCAGCAGCAGTGGCAGCAGGAGCAGTAACACCACAAGCAGCGACAGCAGCAGGAGCAGTAACACCACAAGCAGCAGCAGTTGCAGCAGCACCACAACCACCACCACCAGCAGCAGCAGCAGTGACACCACCACCACCAGCAGCAGCAGCAGCAGCAGCAGCAGCAGCACATCCACCACCACCAGCAGCAGCAACAGCAGCAGGAGCAGTAACACCACAAGCAGTGGCAGCAGGAGCAGTAACACCACAAGCAGCAGCAGTTGCAGCAGCACCACAACCACCACCACCAGCAGCAGCAGCAGCAGTAGCAGTGACACCACCAGCAGCAGCAGCAGTGACACCACCAGCAGCAGCAGCAGTGACACCACCACCACCACCACCACCACCAGCAGCAGCAGCAGCAGCAGCAGTGACACCACCACCACCAGCAGCAGCAGCAGCAGCAGCAGCAGCAGCAGCAGTAACAGCAGCAGCAGCAGCAGCAGCAGCAGCAGTAACAGCAGTAACAGGAAGCCATCATGACACTGCAGTGACGTCACTGCACTACCGATGAAGAGGCATCAAGAGGCAGACAGCAGCTGCATAGTAATCCTGACAGGGATTAAAGCTACTGTGATCAACAGATTTCGAAACCAACTCTCAACTGAAGCGACAGTGCAGTAGCAATTACCACGTTTCTGCACGCGTACGTCACATCCGATTTCATCATAATACTCAACCCGCTGTGCCGATCGGCTATTGCTGTTAGATATCGATCAGATATTGATCACCTTCTATGACGGATTTCGCATCGGCTGTCTTAGCTCCTTGCTGTCATTCCAAAGAATTCCCAGAACGCCTCAAGAAAATTGCAAAGACATCACACACGTTGTGCATATAAACAATTGTATATATTTTCATAACAGATCTAATAATATAATATTGAAAAATCAATTAACAACAATGATGTGCGATTCTTGTCCGTGTCTGAAACTCTGAACATTTATACATCGATATATAAATACGTTAGTAATTAGTACTAATTACGTTAATTAGTTTATACACCTTCGTATGGGAAGCGCGTGATGCGAAAGACCGAGTTTCAGATGGACTTACAGTGGTATGTAAAACGGAAGGTAGTAAGAATTTGATTGCTCTGTTCTGTGTGTATATTTTGTAAGATGACAAAATAAAGGGACAACCGAGTCCTCTAAGTGCTTACATAAATTCCAATTATACTACTTGGTGACTGACTGATTGGCCATTCTCTATCACTATCCATTATTATGCGTGGGCAATGATCGCCTCTGCAACCACATACGTATACTTTACCGACACAACACTGGGGAACTAAAAACGACAATCATAAATTAAACAAGTCTATTTATTCTGTGCTACCACAGGTAAAATTTCCATCCCTCTTCAACACATGGGTTAAAGCTAAAGAAGCCAACAACGTTGAACTTTGCTCGGCGAAGCGAATTAAAAAACGAATCACAATACATCGATAAATCTTTGGCAACAGCGCGCGATCGGATCGCAACACGTGTAAAGCTCGTCGTAATATAAGCACGTTGAACACGAGTTGTCACTCCACTCGCTAACACCGCCCCACAACCAACAACCCCCGCGTCTTGGCGCTGTAACTGGCACTAACTTCAGCAGAAATCACAACAGTCTTGCAACATTACGTGTAGCCGCATTTGCGAAAAAGAGGGAGAAGTAGACGTGCCATGGCGGTGGAAACTGGTTGCACAACTACGCAGAACCCAGCCTCCACAGACCTATCCCACATGCCTGCTTTGTGGGTGAATAACTGAGAAAGCCAGAGAGAAAGAGAGAGAGAAGGGAGTGAAGCAACGACAGAGAAAGATAGTGCGATCACAAACTTTTTTTTTGAACAACAATGAACGAGGCAAATGCAGACATTATCATGCTGGAGACAGAAAACTTTTCAGTCTTTTTCTGTGTATATCTGTAGTGCTTTGACCTCAGCCTTTGTGCACAAAATCTTCCTAGATGTACACACCACTAGCACTGCTGTGACCTGCAAAAGGAAAGCATTCTTATTCATGGTGCCAAGGCTTCCACTCTTACTAGCACGCTTACAAAGTTGCAACAGTTACTCATCATATTCTAAACTTGTTCCAAAAACAATGGATTCTTTCGATATGCAAGACGTGCGAGTACACTATGACCATTTTCTTGCACAATGCACAAACGCATAATAATGTCTGTTTCACTCTTCGAGACATGTGTTAGTCGTCTATCAGTGAGAGTTAAACTGACCAAGTCACGAATTTGCTATGGTGTATATTTGTAAACGAAATTATTACTTTTTTTTACATGAAAAGTAAATACTAATGGCACTAAATGTATCCTCAATTTCTGACCTGATAAGATTGTTTTTTCAACTAGTTAAAAATCCAAAAAAATCTGGGCGATTTGATATATTTATCACGACATTAAATGCTTGCTATGGGTTATGTATGAGTCACGAGTGTATGTTCACATCGAACGGAATAGCAAAATAGGAAGTAAAATGCAGCAATTTAACCACAAAAAGTGAACAGAATCATTTACACTTTGAAAAAGTTGACATAATTTTTTTACTTTTACTATTTACGATGACGTAATCGCTTTAAACGACACTTATGTCACACACATCGTCGCCTTTTCTGTTTAGATCTTTACCCGCCAAGCCTACCACTTGAATAAACGACGCGTGCGCGTTCTGGCAACGAACGATGCAGAAAAAAAATCTCTACGCGCGATGCTGTGGATCCAATTAGTTCTATGAAATGTAATAATTTTAGCAATTTCAATTTCGCAATTCAGCAATTTCGCATAGATCCCAGTTCCTTCCAACGCCTTCTAATGTCTTATAAATGCGTCACCGCGTGGTGACGTCACTCTATTCAATTCGTGCGCCCACTGACCCAAAACTCCGCCACCAAACACGGATCTGTGTCGAAAAACTCACGGCTTGACATATCCCGGCTTGGCACGCACAGACACACGCACGCACACAGACAAACGCGCCCCCCCCCCGCACGCACTGGATCACTGCCATTTTGGTTCGGTCGGTGTACGAGGCTTTTGTAGTACGGTGTTTTAGCTTTGAGATAGAGACATGGGGAATTTGGCACATTAATCAGGCAAATGTGCAGGGACGGCCGGCGATGCACCCAGAAGACATTAGCTATATACTATTTACTATACATATACTATTTGCTATTTACTACATACTTAAGAGCGCACATAATTCAGCGTGGACTGAAGGCATTTCAAAATTGTACGAACACATTAACTTCGACAAGAAAGCTGCGGAGTTTATCAAACGGCAACGTACACGGTGCTCGCCGCTCCTATACCTGGTACCGTCGTACGTTGGTCGCGACCGGCCGTTGTACCTACGACTCGCTCCACAAGTTAGTGGAAGTCTAAACAGGTCGCGACGACGATGCAGACGGTTTAAAAGAGAGGGGTTTTAGTGACAACGGGAAAGACGTCGGCAACATCTGACCGCTACGTGTATTCCGCTGCATTCCCCCGGACTTGTAATAAAACCGTACTTGCCAGCGTTTACTCGACTCTCTACGAACCCGATATACTTTCGCCCCCCCCCCCCCCCCCGCGCGCGACAACGTCACGCTCCGTAACCTCCCCCTCCCCCAAGCTGTTGTTATCGTCTGCTATTCTTCTCATTCAGGTCGGCCGCAGCCGTAATGTGGCGGTTACAAACCGAGCTGAGGGTGCCTATGTGTACGGGCCCGCTATGTGTACATACATATAGTACACATAAATAGACACACGGGAGTGGGTCGGTGGGTCTGTCGGGGACTGACTGAGAAGCGAGACTACAGTAGAAGGAGTCCATAGCCGAGTTTAGGGGGAGGGGCGGGGTGTTATACAAGCGGTATATACTATCAAGAGTAGGTCCTACATAATAGAGTATCTCTAGAGAATCTCTATTATGTACTCTTGAGACTAAAGAGTGTGTTGTGGAAAGGCGGTGGGGGTGGGGTGTGCTGTGGAGAGGCGGGGGTGGGGTGTGTGTGGCTTGGCGACGTTGGCATCCACGCTTGTCTTTCCCAAGGCCCATGAATCATCGCTGATGTAGGAACGGATATATCTAATATAGGATAGAAGTTTTGGAAGTGGCGGTTTTAACGCATTCTATTGCAGGCAGTAACGTGTTGTGGGGAGGCGGGGGTGTGTGTGTGTGTGTGTGTGTGTGTGTGTGCGTGCGTGCGTGTGTGTGTGTGTGCGTGCGTGCGTGTGTGTGTGTGTGCGTGCGTGCGTGTGTGTGCGCGCGCGTGCGTGTGTGTGTGTGTGTGTGTGCGTACGTGCGCGCGTGCGTGTGTGTGTGTGTGTGCGTACGTGCGCGCGTGCGTGTGTGTGTGTGTGTGTGTGCGTACGTGCGCGCGTGTGTGTGTGTGTGTGGAGGGTATTAACTATTAATCCATTGATCGTGTGGAGACATGGCGAGTAGCTTAATTAATAACCTAACCGCATATCACGTATAGTGTGAACCTCGTCCTTGACAACGTTGTTAAACCGGTGTTGACCACAGGCATTTAAAACGTTTCAATAAAATATAATGCTATATAAATAGGAAATCTAATACTAGTAGTAGTACTACAAAATGCTTAATGTTTCTATACTCTCTTTCACCTATTATTGCCGACAGTTTCCTGTAAATTCCGTGTAAATGCTCTATGCACACACACTAACGCCGCCATTGCTCACTGTGCACAGTGACTATTAATATATATATAAGAATTTTGTAGTACTAGTATTAGATTTCGTATTTATTTAGCATTATATTTTATTGAAACGCTTCAAGTGCCCAGGTGGCGTTGACCGCATCGCAGCTGCATGTGTGTGATCGCAGCCTCTCCTTGACCCCCCCCCCCCCCCATCCGTGACGTCGACCCACGTATAACCGGTGTTGCATGCGTAGCATCTTTCTCTCTCGCTCCCTCTATTATATATATATACATATATATATATATATATATTTGTTTATTTATTGATTTGTGTATATACGTGACCTCTCGGCTTTCCGACCATCCCAGCATCATTGAACGCATATTATTCACTCCATCGCCCCTGACTACGTATATCCGCTATGCGTGCGTGCGTGCGTGTGTGCGTGTGTACGTCGTGCATGGTTGCTGGCCATTTAAACCCCCCGTGACCACGTATAACCGTTGTTGCTCATTGTGTGCGTGAGCGTGTGCGTGCGTGCGTGCATGCGTGAGCGCGTGCGTGCATGCGTTGCTGCAGTCCGCTTCTATCGCCCCTGACCACGTATATACCCCGAGCGGTCTGCGTAAGCGGTGTTGCGTGCGTGCGTGCGTGTGCGTGTGTGCGTGCGAGCATGGCAGTGTGGCGTACAAACAGAACTATCCGCACAGCCTTAACACGCTGTTTCTTACCGTACGTGTGCTTGCTTGCAGGTACAGACGCGATCCGATGCTACTCGTGCACGGTGCCGCCCTACCCCGGCGGGGATATCCACACTATGCAGAAAAATCTGTGCCCCGAACAGCCGTGCCCCGGACCCGAACAGGAGCAAAAGTGTGTCAAGATTATCGACAACAGTCAATGTAAGTCACTATTTATGTGGTGATGTAAGTCACTATCTGTAGTGTAACAACGTCGCACACAGACTCCTTTGGTTGCTATTGTTACTGTTGTTGTTGTTTTTTTGTTCGTCTCCGTCTCCAACATTTTCCTGTTCCTCTCTTTCCTTTACTCTGTGAGGAGGGGCTTCACACGGGAAACTGTTTTCAAGCCCCTGCGCTACTTCGTGTAAAGTATATAAAAGATCTAAAGTGCGGGACTGTTTCCTTTATGAAAAAATATCTTGTAAAAATATTTTTACAATTTAATTTAATTTAATTGCGTGCGGCTACACAATCCTGCAGGATTATTCCGTGCTGCCATTTCTACTCCAAGGTTGTCGGCCACGCATCCATCTTAGAACCCGCGAATTACCGCCAGATGGCTCTTCACCACAACTTATCAAATTCCCCCTCCCTCGTCAAATTCTCCCCCTCCCTCCTTCTCAACTCCCCTTCTCAAATCCCACCCTCCTTCTCAAATTCGCCCCCTCCCTCCTTCTCAAATTCTCCCCCTCTCTTCTTCTCAAATTCCCCCTCCCTCCTCAAATTCTCCCCCTCCCTCCTTCTCAAATTCTCCCCATCCCTCCTCAAATTCCCTCTCCCTCCTTCTCAAATTCTCCCCCTCCCTTCTCAAATTCTCCCCCCTTCGCTTCGCAGACGAGAAGAAGGTGGTGCGGGGCTGCTTGTGGGACCTGCGCAGCAGCAACTGGAAGATGTACCTGCCCGCCGACACGTTCAGCGGCTGCCGACGCGGATCGAATCTCTACGACGACGCGCCCAACTCACAGCAGCGGTATCGCAGCTCGCACGAGACGTACAGCGAGACGGGCAGCTCGTATCGAGACAGACTCGAGCACCTTGATATATGCCTGTGCGATGATTGGAACCATTGTAACGCAGCGGTCGTCGCGCGCAGGCCGGCAGGGGTGGGTGCGACGACGACGCTGGCGATGGCGCTGGTGGTGGTGGGAAGGTGGATGTGGTAGCAGGCGCGAGGGGAGTGAGATGGTCGGGAGATGCTGCTGCTGCTGCTGCTGCTGCTGCTGCTGCTGCTGCTGCTGC